ATCACCATAACTGGTCTACTCTGGTCTCAAATCGGGAGACCTGGGCACACACCATCTATAACGCTGCGGATGCTTTTGAGAAAGCACGCAGGATCACCCTTGAGGAGAAAAGGCAACGCAGAAAGAATCGTGCCTTGCAGAATATACCATCTAAGGAGTCTTTCTGTTGTGCCTTTTGCAACCGGACTTATCTCATATTGGCCTTTTCAGCCACCAACGCACTTGCAACAAACATGGGTAGAGCCCTTCCCAAATCTTTGTTCGCGAAGCCTAGCCATGACTGACCAATATTTAAGAAAATAGAAGAGACCTAGGAAATTTCAGTTACATGACCTAGTTGATGATAGCATGCAACACTGAAATTCAGGGGTGTTTTTACTAAAGAACCCGTTTGATAAACTACAGAATGTAGAGATAGGTGTACATGTGAAAGATTAGATATACGAAGGATGTCGAAAAGTTGTCTGCCACGGTCCGGGGGGAAAGGGAATGGGACCACGGCACTGCAAAAAAGGGTTCGGGACACAGCAGAGATCTCGTGAAGCAATGCCAACTTTATTAGGGGAGCATGAGACTTAAATAGGGTTGGTTCAGGGGTTGGACTCCGGGTAGGGGAGGAGTAAGGGATTGACAACTGGGTGTAGGTGGGTGGAGTTTGGGAGTTGCTAGGGGAATGGACCAATGGGGGCTGCCTCTGCACTGCACCAAACACTAACCAATGGCAGGCAGAGGAGCAGGAAAACAACAGGTTTAGGCGGGAAAACTGTGAGGGGAAGAAGGAGACAATATGGAGGATGATTTTAAAACAACAACTGGGGTATACACAACATGATAATCATATAACAATTAACAGGGAAAAACCAGGGATAAACTGGGGATAACATAGGAAACTGTCCAGTCCAGGGTAAGGTCATATCCGGTGAATAAATGTCCATTTCAGGGTAGTTGTGTCTCAGTCAGGGTTATAAACTTGTCTCCACGTTTGGTATTGTTTCCATTCCTCCGCACGTTCCCCAACATCTCCCCCTTCTTTGTTTTCTTGCACCGAGGCGATATTGGCCATGATGGAACTCATCAACATCTTACGTAAACACAAGATTAAACAAGGTAAAACAGTACACAACGAAATCAAACCAAAGAGGGCTAGAACACATAAGATAATAATTTTTCAGGACCAAGGGGGCAAATTTGGTAGTTGTAGCCAATTGAAGAGGTCATCGAGCCCTTCACTCTTTGACTGATGAATTTCTCTGACCAGGCCTTTTAGCTGGTTAATACTTTGGTGGATAGACTCGGCATGATCAGAAAAATTCATGCAGCACATTCCCTCAAACTCCTGGCACCCGTGGCCATGTGCCAGGAGGAGGAAATCAATGGCCGCTCGATTTTGTAAACTGACCTCTTTTAACTTCTGGGTGTCCGCTAACAGGCCCTCAATTGCTATTGTTGTTGCATTCGCCTCCTTGGTTAACCAGCACCCAAGGTGCGTGAGCAATGAGAGGGCGTGTGCTGTCCCTATCCCAGGGATAGGGAAGGATGCCCAGAAGTTCTTCACCCTCGACCAGATCTGAATGTTGGAATCGCAATCCTCTGGGAAGGGCAGAGGTGTGGGCCAATAATGTGGCCTCCCAACATTCACATGTGGTGGTGGGAGGACATTTGGAAATTTAGCGCTGGATTGTGGGGAAGAAGTTTTTGAAGTCTGAATAGATTCAGACTTTGGAGCTGGTTCTGGGGCAGATTGAGGTTTAGGGAGTCTCCATTTTTCAGTTTCTTTTTGAATATTTGGGAACCAGCTCCACTTTTCCCGAAGGGACCTTTTATTATAATTTCTAAAAAACACAAATTCGTTATCCAATTGGAACTTCGCCGGGTTAAACAATGCTAATTTTCCTACTGTGCAGGGACCTCCCTCTGGGTAGGCCCGAATTCCTGGCCATGCCCGATCCCTGCACAACAGGAAATATCCCTTCGGGAGCCGCATGTTCCGAGGAACGTGCTCTGTTGGGATAGTGGTGACAATGGAATTGTTGCACCACAGCGAAGTGGTCCCCTGGTAAAGCTGTTTATTTGCCGTGACATTATGGGGTGTAAACAGGACCGGTTGGGTATATCTATGGAAAATAACACAAGCGGAAGCGGGAAGTGAACCTAAAAGATCAATTTCTTGAAAGGGGATATCAGTAAAAGTAAGAGCTGATATGGCCTGTGCAAGGTTGGGAGAATTTAAGGGTAGGGACCCCTTGCTTCGGGTTTGGGACACGAAGGTGCCCCATTCTGCTGGAGTGACCGGGATTCCAACTAAGCAGGTCCTGAAAGGACTACCCGTACTAGCCAAGGCCAGACACAAGGTATCCGTGCCTGTGGCCTTGGCTAATGTTACCCAGAGGTTCTCTCCTGGTTGACTCATCCACTCTCGCAGTGGTATTGGGTCGCTAAGAGGGATGAATCCAGAGGTGGCGATGATGAGGAGGATGATGAGACACGGTAAGTTCATGGTTGATCTTCTTACGCCTGGTGGATCTTAACACGGCGTGCTGGGACCCACTTCGGTCCTTCTGGACCTGCAACACAAGCGTAGCCCTTCCCCCAGGTGATCAAGGGGAAAGGGCCCGTCCAGGTTTCTGTGAGTGGGTCCCGGTACATGACCTTTACTCTTACGGTAGTGGAGGATATCGAATCTGATTTAAAGTGACGGTCTGCTGGACTTCTGTTTGTGTGAGTCTCTGCTTCCTCCAACATGTTCAAAAAATTTAAAACGTACATCACTTTATCCAATTTCTCTTGGGGGGATAGGCCAATACTCCCCCTCTTTTGTTTTTTCAGAAGATTTTTAATATTTTGATGGGCACGCTCTACTATACCCTGTCCTGTGGGATTGTGAGGGATCCCGGTGGTATGATGCACTCCCCATTGTTCAAAAAATCGTTTAGTGTCTGCAGACACATAGGAGGGCCCATTGTCCGTTTTCACCTGCTTCGGGACACCCATCCTTGCGAATGCGGACAGAAAGTGTTTTTTCACGTCACGGCTCTTTTCACCAGAATGCGTGGTGGCCACAATCATTTTTGAAAAGGTGTCAATAGACATATGCACGTATTTTAGTTTTCCGAATTCAGGTACGTGCGTAACATCTGATTGCCAAATTTCCAACGCCGAAAGATCCCTGGGATTAGTCCCTTCTGGGACAATCGGTGTGATAACTTGGCAATCAAGGCACGTTCTCAAAATCTCTTTAGCTTGAGATAATTTGAGGCCGAATTGCTTTTGCAGTGACCGTGCATTTTGGTGAAAGAACTCGTGAGATATTTTTGCCTGTTGGAATAGATTGGGAGTGACTACCATACCTGCCAGATGATCGGCAATCTGGTTTCCCTCCGCCACAGGACCTGGTAGAGTAGTGTGTGACCTGGTGTGGACAATGAAGAAGCCGAATTCTCTGTTATGAATTAGAAACAACAATTTGGTTAATAACTTGAATAAATCCTGATTAGCCACCTCCTTAAGATAGGAATTTTCAATTTGTTTGACCACACCACACACATAAGCCGAATCTGTAACAATGTTAATTGGCTCACCACTAAAAATTTCAAATGCGCGTACAACTGCAGAAAGCTCCACGATTTGGGGAGAACCTTGCACTTTATGGATATCTTGCTGCCAATCACCATTTTGTTGCCAAATTATTACCTCATTTCCGGTTCTCCCTGAGCCATTGGTAAAAATTGTTTTTGCACCCTTTATTGGCAGATCCGATTGTATAATTTTTAATTTTAATGGAATTTGGATTAGTCTTTGAATGAACGGGCACGCCGGGAGGTGAAGCCAAATTTCTCCCGGGTAGCCTCCGATGGCAATCTGAAAGTCAGTGGAGGTTTGCAGCAGTTGTTCTAGGTGTTCAGAAGTCAGTGGGAGGTAGATAAAGTCTGGCTCCTCACCACTGAGCTCTAAACACCTAGTGCGAACTTGGAAGATTATCTTGCCAATCATTTCTGAGACGGTGGTGATCGTCTTACCGAATTGGTGCGGGAGGAATACCCACTCCCACAAACAGAAGTCCTTGCCGTCATCTGAAAACTGACCCAGAAGGGCTAGTGGTTGTCTCTGTTCTCTTATGATGACTAGGGAGGATGGCAGTCCCTCCATCCTCCTACATGACTGTCTTTGAGTAATCTTTTTCTCAACAGTGGATAAGGCGGCTTCTGCCTCTGATGTTAAATAACGGGGGGAGGACAGGTCAGCATCTCCCTTTAGCAGCTCAAATAGGGGATGAAGATCACCGGTTGTGATCCCCAACACAGGTCGGATCCAATTGATCGCTCCTAGTAGCTTTTGGAGGTTGTTCAATGTGTGGACTCGTTTGTCAATTTCAATTGCCTGAGGCCTTATGACCCTTCCTGTAATTTGGAGTCCTAAATACCTCCAAGGTGCTTCCCTCTGTACTTTCTCGGGGGATATTTCCAATCCTTTTTCTTTTAGGGCTGAAATAGTTGAATTTAAAGTCTTCTCAACTGCCAATTGGGAGTTGGCGCAGATCAACACATCATCTATATAATGGAAGATGATTGACTGCGGGTATTTCTGCCGAATTGGTCTCAACACCTCTGCCACGAACATCTGACAGAGTGTTGGGGAATTTTTCATCCCCTGGGGGAGCACTCGCCACTGGAACCTGCGGTGAGGTTCACAGGCGTTGATCGCAGGGACTGAAAATGCGAATCGGGCCGAATCAGCCGGATTAAGAAATATGTGAAAAAAGCAGTCCTTTATATCAATCACCACCAGGGGCCATTCAGCAGGGAGCATGGATGGTGATGGCATTCCCTGCTGGAGGGCTCCCATTGGTTCTAGGACTTCATTTACTTTGCGCAGGTCCTGGAGAAATCTCCAGGAACCTGAGGATTTTTGGATGACAAACACTGGAGTGTTCCAGGGACTGGTGGAAGGCTCCAGGTGTCCTTTTGCCAATTCTTGACTCACTAAGTCGTTTAGAATTTGCAGCTTTTTCTTGGGTAGGGGCCACTGATCGACCCAGACTGGAGTTTCTGTTTTCCAGCTCAGTCTGGGGAGCTGCAGTACTTCAGTGACCCCACCTAAAAATTTTGTTCATGGGACAGGGTGCTTAAATTGAGCTCCCACTGTTCCATGGCGTCCCTTCCCCAAAGTGTAATAGGGATATTAAGAATATAGGGTTGGAGAGATGCTGGTCTGCCCTCTGGCCCATAAACAGTGAGTGTCACCTGACTCCGGACCGGATATTGTGTTCCCCCCAAGCCGCTGACTTGGACGTAAGCCGTTTGTGCGGGCCATCCATGCGGCCAGTCCTTGGAGGCGATTATGGTGATGTCTGCTCCCGTGTCCAAGAGGCCCTCCACCTTGACCTGCTGCGGCTGTCTGGGCTGCGAATAATAAACTAGACATTTTAGTAGAGGGCGAGAAGACTTAACAGTCGTCGTCCAGAGGACTTCCTTCTGTTCTCTCCTCTGCTCCTCATCAGTGGATAGAACACACAGCAGGTCTTCCATGGAGACCATCTTGGCCACTGGGAAGCGATCGTCCAGCTGGACGGGGGGAAGATGTACAGTTAAACATATAGCAATGTTAGTATTAGTGAGTCCGGTCAGGAGTGTGGGCACTGCTATGATGCCTTTATCCACTGCTGAGAAATGTGACGTGATTAGATATGTTGAGTCGGGGTCGACCAGGGCCAATGGTCGGACCCTGGCCAACTGTTCATACGAGCTTAGGTGAGTGGAGGGGTGCACGACGGTTAAAATGATCCAGGGGAGTGGAGAACATTGGTCTTTTACCTGGACCGGGTCAGGGAGCGGCCGCCGAGCTACGGGGTAGCCGGGCACGATGGTTGGCGCAGGATGGAGCGCAACGCAGGGGCAATTTGTATCAGCGCGCTCCCCTGGGCGCTCTGCTCCCCGTTTCCCGACGGCTCACACTCACAAGGCCTTAGGTCCGGTAACGACGAAAAGGTGACCCTCTTTTGCAACCTAGGTGAATGACGCGGAGAGAGAGGTTCGCCATTGATGTTAGTGGTGGAGCGACAAGTGGAGGTCCAATGTCGCCCCTTCCCACACCTGCGACACAGCGTCTTGGGGAGGTCAGGTGTAGATGCTGAAAGGCGAGGACAGTGTTTTTTGAAATGACCCTTTTCCCCGCACTCGAAGCAATGATTTGGCCCAGTAAAGGCGGCAGCCAATAGACGCGCTTTATGGGAGTTTGACCCGATGTTCTTACACGCCTCTATCATCTCCAGCAGAGTGGGCTCTTTTAAAAGCTTTAATGCTTTTTGGCAGTCCTCATTAGCCTTTTCGATAACCAATTTGTTGAATAAAATTTCCTGGCATTCTTTCTGAGGAACTTGCCTGGCTATTGCCTCTTTTAGCCGATTTATAAATTCTGTAAACGGTTCTTTTGGGCCTTGATTTATCAGTGTGAAAGAAGGGGTCAGCACATAGGCGTCGGCCACCTTCTTCATGGCCTCCAATGCCAATTCTTTACTCTTGTCTAATATTTTGGGGTCTAATCTCGCTTGCTCCCCTCTGCTGGAGTAGTCTCCCTCCCCATAAAGCATGTCTATTGCCTGTTTACGGGTAATTCCCTTCCTCCCCATCCGGTCATTCACATAGGTTACAATGTTCTTTTTCCACTCCGTCTCGAAAGCTGAGGCCTGGACGGCCGTGAACAACCCTCCAATCAGCGCCCTGATGTCAAAGGGTATTAGTGTATACGCGAGGAAGAAGGACTCTAGCAGACCGATGGTGAAGGGAGCGCCCAACCCGTACTCTACTATGGCTTTCTTAATGTCTTTTAACATTGGGTACGAGATTGGCCTCCACTCAGGTACCCTCCCCTCGTCGTAATACACCGGAAATGCTCGTAGGAATTCCACATCTTGGGCGCCTGCCGCTTCCTCCCGGAAGGCCTTCCAAATGTCCGGTGCTGTATGTGGCCTTTCCGGAGAGCACAGCACCCAGTCACAGCCAGGGGTTGGGTAGCGGCAGGCGGGGTAGGACTCAGTGTCTTGTGCCTTACGGGCACGGCCATCTTTCCGGATGTTACCCTTGGCCTTTGCCCTGGCCCCACCCACTGCTCCCCATGGTTTCCGGGAGCGTGATGTATCGGGGAAGGAGACCAGACTGGTGGAAGTGGGCGTGGTGGAGGACGTATCGAAGGAGGGGCTTCGTGCGCGTGTAGGCGGGGACGGAGGCGGCCCAGAGGGTGGAGCTACGGGGGTCCGCCTCCGCTTTTCCCGCGCCAGTCCTTCCCGTGATTCCCCACTCTTCCTGCTCTCGCGGTCCCGGGGCCCCGCCTCCTCGACGCCATTTTTCTTTCGACGCAGTATTTTTCGCGCCCTCCCACCATTTCGCGCATCTGACTCTGTCTCCTCCCTCCCGCCATCTTGGGTGTCGCTTTGGATGTTCTTCTCCCTCCCACCATCTTGTGTAATGGTAAAAGTGTCCTTTTCCGAGAGAGTAATGTCCTTGCTGGTGTGTTCTGCGCTTTCTGTAATTTTCTTGGAGGTCTCAGCGTCTTGGGTGGTAGTGCTGACGTTCTTGTTCATCATCTGGTGCTGTAGCACCATCAGAACAAACCTCCAGGCTATTATCGCTTCTTTTCCGAG